CATCACTTGTTTCCTGCCTCTCTCAAGCTCCTTCTTTACCCATTTCTTCCTACTGCTTCCTCTCCTTGTTCCCTCCTCCAATTCTTCTGGTCCTATCTGTTCATCCACCTTTCGTACACTTCAGCACTGTATGTCTCAGTGGTGACTAACCTCTAGGCTCAGGGACAGTAGGGACCCATTTAGCTCAGCTGGTAGATCTTTAGAGTTCATTTGAGGCCTATCATTGGGTGTTGCAGGTTTTGTTAGATGGCCTTATCTTTCATTTTCCCACTTCTCCTTCCTTATCTCCTATTCCTGTTATTTTCCTTTCTCCAAGGGGTTCAGTTTTTTGCCAGGATCTGTCAGTGGCAGTTTTAGACCTATAAGCTAATGATGCTATTGAACAGGTTTCTCTTCCTTCTCCAGGATTTTATTCCCATCTGTTTCTCATTCCTATGAAAATTAGGGATTGGTGTTAGGTCCTAAACCTTTCATTTCTCAATCAGTTTCTTGACCTACCTCAATTTCCCATGGATACTTTTCTTACTCTATGATGTTGCTCCAAGATTTTAGATGACAAAGGTGGATGTCTCAAATGCTTATTTTCACATTCCCATTTCCCCTAAATCCAGACTCTATCTTTGATTTGTTCACTGAGTTCAGGTTTATCAGTTCTGCACTCTCTCGTTTGGTCTTGTGTAAGCCCCATATGTTTTTTGCCGAGTAGTGCATACTTTTGCTCGTGTCTTGGGACTGTGGTTCCAAGTCCCATCATGATTGGCTGCTTTTAGCTCCATCTTAACAGGCATCCTACAACCATAATCTACTCGTTCAGGAGAGGGCTCATCTTGGTTAGTTAGTAAAGCTGGAGAATTCTCATCTCACCTCCACTCTATATCTGGTTTATTTGTAGGTGCTCTTCAATTCCCATCTCAGTAAGGCCCATCGTTCTCCACTTTGTTTGAGGGACATAGTGAAATTGTTTTACAATGATCTAACCATTTCTTCTTTGCCTGTGTGGGAGGTTTTCTCTTATTAGGGGACTTGGGCTTCCATGGAATCCTTTATTTTCTTGGGTCATGCTCACATGTGCTGTTTGCAGTAGACTATGATCAATGGAACCTCACTTGAGATTTCTTGTCCTCCCTCATCCATCTTCCCCTTCTCTGCATACCAATTTCATAGTGTGAGCAGAAGTGTGTTTTGGAAGTTAACATTTTCTTAAATCCAAAATGTGTTTCCAATAATTTTACCTCCTCTCAAACTCTCCCACCCTTCCTCCCCACTAAGAACTGGTGTTAAAGACTGCGAATTGGGTCAGTTTCAGAAAATTGACAATATTATCTGAAGGAAGAGCCTCTATACAGTAGCAGAATAGAGGGCACATTGATATAGGTGGACAATGTCACGAGACAGATATCGCCAA